AGGAACATCAAAATATCGCTCCTCTTCGTCATCCTCATCCCACAAATCGATCCGTTCCATTTTCACAGTTGCTGCATCGATCATCCTCTGCAACAGAATGATTAAGAACACTTCTTACCACTATCCAAAAGTCGTATGGCTTCGAACCCAATCATTCGAGAAGATCTTTTTGGATCTATCCAAAATATTCTCGAAAAACTTCTTAACAATTTCAATGATTCACCGCAAACTTCATATGAAACTGAACAATATTCGCAACGAAATACGGATGAATCAATATCAACCATCACAATTCTTTACTCATTTGACTACCAACTGCAAAAAATCTAACTTACATTGGCCGACTTTGACACCAATATTAAGGATGGTCGCTCTTCAATCAATTTCGATATAACCACAAGAGTTGCAGCTGCGAATGCTGCACTCCGATTCACGGACAACTAAACGAGGAAAAAATAAACAACAATCAAATAACAATCAAATCACTTTTGTAATGAATTTCGCTCGAGATGTAATCCTTTATAAATTACCAACTGCAATACTTCAAGACAATTCTATATAAAATAACTTCTCAATTGCAAATTATATAAAATAACCTCTCACCTGCAACATTCGTTTAATGAACGCAATAACGCGTTGCGTTTCGGAATCATTCTTCATTGTTTTATAAAGCAATCCGAACAATTGACTTTGCTGCTTGGCACTATGCTCAACGTCCAATAGTTTTCGATAGAAAGCTGAATAGAAACGATCCGATATGCCTTCACTGAAACAAAAAAACATCTTTCAACAATATGCAACTGATCGCAGTCATCTCAAACCTTTCAAGTTTAGCTCAAAAGAACCTGGACAGCTTAAACTTCAATCACTCTGCCCAATCAACTATAGCTTATTATTAACACATCAATAAATTGATGCGATTTTAAAGCCACAACGATAGAAGAAAATCATTCCGTGAACACTAAATGTTTGAAATTCACAACAATTCAATCGCCTTCTTGCACCTACCTCGTCACCAATAACTGATGTAAAAGTTTCAATGTTTGAAGCGCAGTGTTGAAATTTGATTGATGTAACACTTTGTACAGAGTATCGATTTCTTTCGTCAAACGTTCGGCTTCATCTGCAAGAAAAATATGTGAATACTTTTCGGATGAACTTCACTGCGGTCGCGAATGCCAATCCTTTAATTCTTTTCTTTTCATTGAATCAAAATTTCAAATCAATCAACAATAACAAACGATCACTCATTTTTATTGATCTATAACATTAATCTATAACTGATCTATGTTGATTTATAACACTGATCTATAACCTATAATCTACATTGATCTATAATCAATAAAACGAAAAAATGACATAAACAAATCATAAAAATCAATTCAATTAATCAAAATCATACTTTTCGCATATGGAAACGCACGATTCGTTGCAGTCAACAGTGCCGAAATAATCTTATCATCTATTTTTTGTTTCGCAATCAAAATTCGGAAGAGACCAATATAAATTGTCAGAAGTGAGGCGGCCAATTCCACATCGCCAGCATTCAGTTGCATTTGCGCAAGGAACGTAACTGCGTAGAGTTGAGCACGACATGAGATGTTCCTTAGAATTTCGGATTTGTTTCGATGAAATTATTTACTTTTGCTCAACGCAAATGTTTCTCAAACAAAATGCTCATTCAAGTATGTTGAGAATCAACCAAAAATTACATCCACACGAAAAATTTTTAATTTCACGAGACGTATTCACATTGTTGAATTCAAAATTTTTCTCAGCATAGACAAATAAATTTATTATCGCTTTGTCGCATCAAAAATACATCAAATCACTAACTTTCTATAAATAAGACGCTCCACTTCTTTCACGACAATCGGCCTCATATTGGGCTGTTTCTGGGTCAGTTTCATTAAATATCCAACTAAACGACTCGCAAATTTACGATTCGGATGGCCCAATTTATTCACCAACAATGTCAATAGCCTCTGAAAGAATTTGTTTCTAACCAAAAGTTTTTCCAGAAGCTCACAAAAACTTTGAAATCAAAATAAACGAGTGTCACAAGCGATACACAACGTAAAAAGCTCGCTCGCAAATGAATTCAATAAATGCATCCAAAAATACACTCTCAAAATATCAAAAATTCAGACAATAACAAAAACTTGCTCGTGAGATGTCATAATTCAGAAATTTTACAATTGGAATATTATCAAATTCAAAATAATTTGACCTGTTCCTGCTCAGGTCGTTCAATCAACAAATCCAGTGCTGCTCGACATGCTTCCGCACAAACGTTCACAACCATTCCATTTGAAAGACTCTAAAAACTGATTCTTTCATCTCTCCGGGAATCGCAACGTCAACGCTTTAACTTCACGAGAATCCAGGCGTTTTTTTCAAAGAAATTTTGTATGGCTTAATTAAGAGGAGGTCCGTTTCAACGCTTTTCAAAAATCTGTTTCAAAAGTGTCCGAAAGCTTGCGGTGAACTCCAAAACCTTTCGATTTGCACAAAGGAACACAACAACTGCAACCAAGAATGTGAATAACACACCTCCAGTGCCATCACAAAATTCTCATAGAGTTTCTTTAAATCCGACTCAAACTTCCACATAATCAACCGTCGCTCTGCAGCTTTTTCACCTTTCTCCAACTGCTTCTCCAGTTCACCAACGGGTCTCTAAGAACAAAAAAAAATGGAGTCTCACTCTCGACAATTAGAAAAATGAGAAAAAACTTTTTCGCTCAAAAACATTCATTTGAAAACGTCCACTAAAATTATATGAAATATTCTAATTAATAGCATTACCAATTAGTGCATCAACCGGATGAATTACTTCGTTTTCAATTCAAAAACAGTGCTACTCAATTTAATTTTTTAGTGAAAAAACATCAAACCATGCGAAGTTACCAATAACTTATAAATTTTTGAACACATTACATCGATGAAGAATTCATTTACAAAGATGGCTATCATCCTCTAAAAAACAGTCAGAAACTAACCTTCGAAAGAGGAATCAGTTTTCGTGTTGGCGGTAGAATCTCGTTGATAAATAATTCCTTCAGAACACCTAAAGTAATACCTGATCAGTTACAATATTGAACATGAAAATATACTCCACAATGCTAAGACATCAATGACATTCACGATATCAATGACAATTACGATGCCATTAATTATCATGAATTACTCATTCTGTCAAACAATATACCAATATATCTTTTTGCTTTCAGTTGTTAAAATCGAGAATCTCAACATAAAATAACTCACTCAAAATAGAGAATGCCTCTCGAGGATTCTTTTTCTGCACTCTGGACACAAGCGTGTTCAGATGTGAGAGTGCGTGAACAGGCGATCGTTGAATAAACATTTGCATAGCGCTTATTCGATCGCCCGCAGTTCCTTGCACAATCACCGTATTCAACCAGCCTGCTTCGGAGGCATTTCGCTTAGATTCCACTGAAATTCCAATTCATAAAATCCGCACAATTGTTCATTTCTCGAAGGCATCCAAAGTATCCAACGAACAAAAATTCACTTCAATTCTAGGAGTGCTTTCACATGCTAACTTCTGAACCAAAAATATTCCCCTTCCTTCAGTGGTTGCTTCGAAACCAGGAATATTTCCCTTTAGTGGTTGCACCTTCTCCTGAATCCCCACAAATTCATTCCCTCATAGGTGGTGGAAATTCTCCCCATATTCTTTTGATGACAAGTCTGCTTGCCGTCTACGAATCCAGAAATACACCGAGCTTGTTGGGACATAGAAATGCTCTGAATCATTAAATAATGATCAATGGAACGTAACTGATAACATTCGCAGCCTTTGGACAGTTCATTTATAAGCTTAAGTGGAAATTTGGCTGAAGTATTTCGAGATTTGTGCATGCAGCTTACCAATAATTTAGGCAAACAATGGAAGGCAATATGAAAACTGACACTGATTATGAACATCAATATCCCGGCTAAGAAGATACGTCGCTTTCTCTTCGACTTTTGAGAGTTGCTCCTTATCTGCCTCGTTGGCATCACTTCGATCTGCATCAGCGTACTCATACCACTTCCCCTCGATGCTATGTTTGATCAATGGCTCCGATATAATACCCTCAAAACGAACTCTTCGAAACCATATGCAAAACAAATCACCGCATTTTAACAAATCACAATAAACACCATGAACAGAATTGTTCAATTGCATCGCAAATGAAAAGCAACGAAATTAATCCGGCTCGCTAAGATTTCACTTTCCCTTCAGCACTGTGCACAACTGAATGTGACAGATCTAACCTCAATACTTTTCTATCAAAAGCCATTTATCAGAGTCACTGATAAAGGATTGTCTCGTATGATAATGTTGACAGATGAAAAATTATCACTTGGAAATAGAACAATCCCTCAACAAACCAGCTACCTGGCGTTTCTGTTGTTTCTTT